TCTCATTTTCTTTTTTTAAAATTTTTTTTAAGATTAACTCATATTTACCTTAGATGAGCCTATTTTCACAAACAAACTTGGATTTTCAGTGATTTAACACATGCAAGTTAACACACAAGAAAAGGAGAATGTGGTGGGAGTTGGTAATGTTTTTCAAAAACTAAAGGTTTATTGCAGTACTGTACATAATACCAAGGTATAGAATTGGCCTAGGTACCCATCAGCAATTGAATGGATAAAGAAAATGTGCTATATACACACAATGCAGTATTATTCAGCCATGAACATGAATGAAATCCTATTTCATTCATGTTCTTTCAAAAAGAATGGAACTGGAGGGCGTGTTAAAGAGATAAGCTAGACGTAGAAGCGCCACATGTTCTTTTTTGTATATGAAGGTAAAAAATATCAGCCTGAGCAGGCCAGGGTGTAGTTCAATTGGCAGAGTGCTTACCTAGCGTTCATGGAGCTCTGGGTTTGATCCTCAGCACCTCATAAAACTGGACATAGTGGCCCATGCCTGTAATCCCAGCATTTGGGAGCTGGAGGCAGGAGGAACAGAAGTTCAAAATTATTCTTGGCTACATATCAACTTTGAGGCCAGCCTGGGGTACTTGAGACCTTGTCTCAAAAACAACAACAACAAAACCCCAAAGCAGTCAACCTGAAAGTAGGATAATCATTGGGAAAGGTATGTGTGTCGGGGTGTATGTGACTGCTGTATGCATGTATGGAAAGATCACATTGAACTCCATTAATATGTACAATTATGTGTTAATATAAAAAAACGAAAGGATGGAAGGAAAGCTGTATATTATTCAAAATATACTGATAAGAAAATTATGTGGTCATCTGGGTGTGGTTGTGCTCAACTGTAGCTCCAGCACTTCGATAGGACAAGAGGATCGTGAGTCTGAGGCCACTGTGTGCTACACAGTGAGACCCTGTCTCAAAAGCAAAAACAGATAAAATCTAACAAGATCAAATGGTAAAAGAAAAATGTGTGGTCATGAGCACATTAAAGTATGATACTTATATAAAATAGACAAAAATATAAAAGTGACTAAAATCTATCTTTCAAAAGAATTACTTTCATATCTATAAAAACATAATTATAACTACATGATTTAGGGACATCATGGCAAACATCTAAAGAAACACCTAAAATTCTTGCAAAGATTCTCTCTGGCAAATAAGAGAGTTATTAGGCACTGGAGAAAGACACTTCCTTTTTTTGGGTCTTTTTGAGACAGGGTCTCCCTGTAGCCCTAGCTGGCCTGGAACTCTCTATGTAGACCAGGCTAGCCTTGAACTACCGAGATCTACCTGCCTCTGCCTCCCAAGTGCTGGGATGAAAGGTGTGCGCCACCACTCAAGGCCGAAAGAAACAGCTTATATTTCATCATTAGTCTTGAGTTGTTTTTTGTTTTTTCCTTTGTCTTTTTTTTGAAGCAGGGTCTCCCTGTAGCCCCAACTATCCTGGAACTCACTGTGTAGACCAGGCTGGCCTTGAACTCACAGAGATCTGCCTGCCTCTGCCTCCTGAGTGCTGGGATTGAAGGCTTGAGTCACCATGCCCAGCTAAATGTTTTGGAAGATTTATTTGTGTGTGTCTGTGGGTGCCAACGGAGGCTAGAAGCAAGTGGGAGCCCTTGGAGCTAGAGATGCAGGTGTTTGTGAGCCTCCTGATGTGGGTGCTGGTATGTGAACTTCAGTCCTTTTATGGAGCAGTAAGTGCTCTTAACTGCTGAGTCATCTCTTCAGCCCTAGCCTTGAGTTCTTTTAAAATTGGGTGCATATATTACTTTGTATTACCTTGATACAAATAAACGTTAATTAAACTCCAAAGATGTGTGTGTGTGTGTGTGTATACACACACACACACACACACACACACACACATATATATGTTGGCAATTTGGGCATGAATGATATCTAGATTTATGTTTAAAATTTTTGATGGTATTCCTGGCAGAGTATGTAGTCATTTTGCAGTGAATTAAAGAATTGCTGCTCTATCCTTCATCTCTTTCCTCCTCCCATTTAAAATGAATCTTTTGGGAAGTATTCATTTGGGACAAGAGGAAAGGAACCTCTAGAATCTTATAATTTTATTGTATGTAAGGCACCAAGTCTTATGTGGAAACATTAAGGGGCAGGAGAGTCAGGCATGGTGCTACATAGCTCTAATCCCAGAACTCTTGGGTACCCAGGCAGAAGGATGGTGAGACTTTATCTCAAAAAGCAAACAAACACAAAAGGAGGTTCAGGAGGTTAAGAAATGGAAGCTAGATGGCTCTACCAATAAGCAGAAGAGATAGGGAAGACAGTATTCCAAACCACAGCTTTCAAAACACTTCATGTGTATGAAAGGTTTTTAAAGTTTACTATTATTTATTTTAATTTTTATTATTTTATTTAATGTGTACGAGTGTATTGCTTGCATGTAGGTAGGTGCACCTGTGTTGTGCAACGCCTGCAGAGGTCGGAAGAGGGCGTTGGATTCCCTGGAACTGGAGTTATGGACAGTTGTTAGCCACCATGTGGGTGCTGGGATTTGAATCTGGGTCCTCTGCAAGAGCAGCCAGTGCTTTTAACTGCTGAGCCATCTCTCCAGTCCTAATTCATTCATTCATTCTATGTGTATGAGTGTTTTGCCTGCATGTATCGTACAGAGGCCAGAGGAGGGTTTCGAGTCTCCTAGAACTGATTGTTAGCTGCCATGTGGATCCTGGGAAGCAAACCCAGGTCCTCTGCAAGAGGAGCCAGTGCTCTTAACCACTGAGCCATTTCTCCAGACCTGAGTATATAAGTTTTTAAGATATACTGATAGTGTGTTCACACAGCACATGGTCATTTATGGATGAGTGTGGGCACCTAGAATTACCCAGAGGTATTTTCTGTAGTAGACATCTGGCATTGTACTCTGCTCCAACCTCATCGCTTCTTGCTCTCAAAGTTTTTTTCTTTTTGCACCTTCTTTCCATTTAAAATCATCACCACCACCACAAAGTTATAGAATACATTTTTATATATTACTCAGGACAATAGAAATGGTCTTACATGGAATCTAGAAAATGATTTAGATAATGATAAAAAGGTCAGTAATGAAAACATTTGAAAACAGACAAAATCATTTATCTCAAATGCCTTAGAAATAAAAATACATTGTATGATTCTAAAACTTAACACTAATCAGAAACAAGAGGGCCTGCTAAAACCCTGGTCCCCACCGTCCAGAGATTCTGCGTCAACAATCTGGGATGGAGCTTGAAAATTTACATTTGTTATGTTCCCAGGTGATGCAGATAGCAACAGCCCGCACTTTGAGAAGCACTGGATTGTCTAGAGTGTCCTGCACATCCTCTCATCCTTTATAGATACTCATCTGAGAACATCTGCTTAGGTCCGCTCCTCCATAGCGTCACACCTCTGTACTCACGTCATTTCTTTTTGAAGAGAATCTGTCCTGGGTACAGTTGGTAGAATGTGTGAGCTCTTCGCTGAAGGCTGCCTCCAGAATGCCCTTCACGGACTGCCTTGCTTTCTTCCTAAAATCTTTTCCCATGAGTGCATAAAGGAAGGGATTAAAGCAACTATTGGCAGACGCCAGAGCAATGGATATGTGATCCCACGATAACACAGCGTTCCCCAAGGGAGTTTCTGGGTTGATATACAATAATAGGACACCAATAATATGGTACGGGGTCCAGCAAACAAGAAAGACGGTTACCACCACCACGGCCACCTGAAAGGTTTTGCCCCGAGACTTGGTAAAGTTGCTCTTTCTCATTCGGAAAACAATGAGGCTGTAACAGGCCACCATGATAAACAAAGGGAGCAGGAAACCCAGCACCAACCTCGTGATGGTTATTGTCACCAGAGGAGTTGGCATTTGACTGTCATACATGAATTGGTCTAAATAAAAATCCTGGAAATCTTGTGACAGCTCAGGGAAGAGATCTAAATCATTAGAGAGAAAATCATCAGAGTTATTATGTGTGCTGGTTCTGTGATCTTCAGCAGGAAAGTCATTGGGTTTGGTGGGAGTAAGCACAGTGGCAGGTTGGTATGGATGTTGACTAGATAATCTTGCTGAATCTAGACGGAATGAACCTCCAGAAGATCTTTGAAATGTTTGTGAATGGAGGGCAGTGGTGATTGTCCAAGGCTTATCAGTTGTTTGGAAAGAGGAAGGCTCTAACCCATCATCCATATGTCCAGGTAGCTGAGCAATGGAGTTGTCAAGAGAATCGTTTTCCAGTAGACCTTGATTGTACACGTCCGAATAATCTAAGGAGCTGGAGTGGCCAAAATTATAGCTACACCTTTCATGGTCATCTACAACAAGTGTTTCCCGGTATATGAATACAGGTGTACTCATTATAAAAGCTGCCACCCAAATACATCCACAGATAATGAAGGCTGCTCTCACATTTCGATGGTTCTGGCACCAGATTGGTTTGTGTACCATCAAACAGCGGTCCAGGCTAATGGCAGTAAGCAGGAAGACGCTGGCAAACATGTTGAGGATGATGATGGAAGGGATAAGCTTGCACAGGAACAAGCCATAAGGCCAATGTCCTTGGAGAATCAAGTGAGCCAGGGAGAAGGGCAAGGAAAGGCAGCAGAGGAAATCAGCCAGAGTGAGATGGAGAAACCAAACCGTGTTCACTGTCCGCCTCATCTTTAGGCCAGCTACCCACAGTACCAGCCCATTGCCTGGCAATCCCAATAGACAAGTGAGGCCCAGAATGACCATGGGGAAAATTTCTTGGGGTCTAACCGAAGAGTGTGAGTGTAGGTCAGTTGAATTGAGCTCAGCAGAGAAAGACGCCATTTCTAAACCTGTGAAAGCAAGAAGAAAGTGTTAAAACTAATAGTAAGTTTGTGAAACTACATATTCTTAGAGTTCCTGTAAAGCCAGAGGCTGTCACCGAATTTGGCACGCATGTCTTCACTCAGAGTAGGCCCCACAAAAACATTCTCTGACGATTATTTAAAATCTATGGTATCGGGCCTTGAGAGAGGGCTCATTGGTTAAGAGCACTGGCTGCTCTTACAGAGGACTGAGGTTCGATTCCCAGCACCACATGGCGGCTAACAATTGTCCGTAGCTCCAGTTCCAGGGTATTTGATGCCCTCTTCTGACCTCCACAAGCATTGCAGGACACAGGTGCACCTACCTACATGCAGTCAATACCCTCCCCCCACATATATTTTTTAAAGTAATAAAATATTTTTTTAAAAATCTGTGGTATAGACTTAAATGTGCATTAAAATGACAGTTTCATTTGGAAGCCCGTATCAGTTTAAATTTCCCTTCTTTGATATATTGTCCCCCTTCCCCCTTGTTTTTACAGTATTGAAGTTGAAAACTAGGATCTGCACATGCTGGGCAGCATTCTACTACTGAGCTAGCTACTTCATCAGCCCTTGGCTTTTTGCCACAAAGCATCTGTTTCCCAAGCTGACCTCCAACTGACTACATTGTAGACCAGGCTGTCTTGAACCCATGCTCTTCCTACCTCTGACTGCTGAGTGCTGGGATCACAGCACTGCCGCCAAGCCCTGCTCTTAGGCTTTCAAGTCCTCATTTTCCACGGCTTCTTCTTCACTCTACACCCATTACTAAAAGGAAACAAATTAGTTAAATGAGTAAATAAACGAAAACATCTAGGCTGATTGCTCCTACCCTGAAGTCATCAATGGACTTTAGAAAACTTAACCATGTAGTTGGTATATGCCTTACTCCCAGCACTCAGGAGGCAGAGGCAGGCGGATCTCTGTGAGTTCAAGGCCAGCCTGGTCTACATAGGGAGTTCCAGGCCAGCTGGGGCTGCAGGGAGACCCTGTCTCAAAAAGACCAAAAAAAGGGAAAACTTTACCATACTACAATGATTCACAAAAGCTGAACTTTGCATATTTTAATTTTATTTATTATTTGTGTGTGCGTGTTGGAGAGTGCATATGGAGGTCAGAGAATAACTTACAGAAGTTGGTTCTAGCATATTTCAGCTAGCTGGCCCTTGAGCTTCTTTATTATTATTATTATTATTATTATTATTATTATTAAAAATATTTATTATTTTTAATTTATATGTATGAGTGTATTGCCTGCATGTATGTAAGCGCACCTGTGTTCTACAATGCATACGGAGGTCAGAAGAGGGCGTTGGATGCCCCAGGAACTTGAGCTACAAACGGTTGTTAGCCACCATGTGGTTGCTAGGAATTGAACCAGGGCTCTCTGCAAGAGTAGTCAGTGCTCTTAACCACTGAGCCATCTCTCTAACTCCCCTTGGTCTTCTTTATATCCATCTTTTTCATATATGTGTAGATCTTTTAAAACAAAAAAGATTAGGTTATATCATGCATACTTTAAAAAATTGATTATGGGGGCTGGAGAGATGGCTCAGTGGTTAAGAACACTGGTTGTTCTTGCAGAAGACCCGGGTTCGAATCCCAGCACCCACATGGCAGCTAATAACTGTCTGTAACTCGAGTCCCAGGGGATCCGACAGCCTTTTCTGACCTCTATGGGCATTGCACGACATGGGTGCACTTACCTACATGCAAGCAATACAAGCATAAACATAAAATAAAAATAATAAAATTTTTTAAAAAGTTAAAAAAATTGATTATGGTAAAATATACACATGTAGCATAACATTTACCATCTGTGCTGGATAGCTTTAGTGTCAACTTGACACACCTGTGTTGAGGGAGCCTCAGTTGGGGAATTGCCTCTATTGGACTGGCCTGTGGCCATGTCTGAGGGGCATCTTCTTGATGAGTGATGTGAGAGGGCCCAGCCCACTGTGGGTGGTGCCACCCCTGGGCAGGTGGGCCTGTGTTGCATAAGAAAGTAGGCTGAGCAGGGGCCAGGGGAGCAAGCCAGTAAACAGAGTTTCTTCATGACCCGTGCTCCAGCTCCTGCTTCCAGGTTCCTGCCCTGAGTTCCTACCTTGGGCTCCCTGATGAACTGCGACCTGGGAGATGTAAGCTGAATCAACCCTTTCCTCCCCAAGTTGGTAGTGGTCAGAGTATTTTGTCACAGCAATGAAGAACAAACTAGGACACCATCTTAATCATTTCAGTGTACAGTAGTGTTTGTCATACTTACCTTGTTGTGTAACTAGTTCTAGAATTTTTCATCTTGCAAAACTGAAACTCTCTCCTCATTAAGCAATTCTCAATCCCAGCCCCAGCCCCTGGCAGCCACTGACCGTACTTTCCCCCATGAACTGAACTTGATTACATATTTCATTAGAGTCACACAGCTCCTTCCTTCCTTCTTCCCTTCCTTCCTCCCTTCCTTCCTTCTTTCCTTCCTTCATTCCTTTTTGAGGAGTGGTGGTGATGACAACCACAAGGTTTCAGTCTGTAGCTCAGGCTAGCCTTGAACTTGCAGTGATCCTTCTGCCCAAGCCTCCTAAACAGTGGGATTACAGGCATGAGCCACAGTGTCTAGCTCAGTCTTTTTCTTTTTGTGTCCCTTTCCCAGTTGGTATTATGTCCTCCATGTGTGGGATATGCCATCTTCCTTTTGAAGGTTAAGTGGTGGGACTAGAGAGATGGCTCAGCAGTTAAGAGCACTGACTGCACTTGAAGAGGACCTGTGTTCAATTCCCAGAATCCACATGGTGGCTAACAACTGTCTCTAACTCTAGTTCCAGGGAAATCAACTCCCTCTTCTGTCCTCTTCAGACATTGTACAACATACAGGCAATACACTCATATACAAAAAATAAAAATAATAGATAAAATATTCTTTTAAAAGGCTAAGTGGCAGCCGGGGGTGGTGGCACACGCCTTTAATCCCAGAACTTGGGAGGCAGGCTGATTTTTGTGAGTTAGAGGCCAGCCTGGTCTACATAGTGAGTTCCAGGACAGCTGGGGCTACAAGGAGACCCTGTCTCAAAAAAAAAAAAAACAAAAAAAGGGGGGGGGGCTAAGTGGGGCCTGGTGGCACATACCTAATTTCTAGTACTTGGACACAATGTATAGGAATCACAAGTTCAAGGCCAGCCTTGTCTACATTGTAAAACCCTGCCTCAAAACAAAACAGAACAAAATGGCTAATATTTCATTGTATTACATAGTATATTTTGTTTATTCAGTGATCTATGAATAGAGACATTAGGATTGCTTCTATCTTTAGGCTATTTAAATAATGAACATGAGTATAAAAGCATAATGTTTTATAAACTTTCTGTTTCAAATTCAAAGTCTCTGCATTACATAGTAGATTCACCTTAAGGACTATCCAGTCTTTATCCAATTATTTTCCAACTTTGCCCCCAAATATCTTTTGCAGACTTCTCCACATAATAGCCAAGCTGTGACCTTACTTGTCATCACAGTGTTGGCTCTTAAGCATCTTAATTTAACACAGTTCTCTTTTTAAGGCTTGGGGCCTGTTTGAAGACTTATTTTTCTGATGACTCTTTCTTTGTTTTTTTTTGAGACAGGGTCTCACTATGTAGCCCTGGCTGTCTTCAGACTCACAGAGACCCTCCTACCTCTGCCTCCAGAGTGCTGGGATTAAAGGCATGTGCCACCAGGCTCTGCCCTGACCATACCTTCTTAACTCTTTTTCTTCAGTATTTGGGTTTGATTCATTTTCTGATTCTCTGCTAAGATTGCTTCTAGAAAGCAAATGTAGACCTGTTTCTTTGTCTTCCAGGATGTAATTCTTAACAGTCTTTTGGCCTCTGATATCTTCCTCAAATCCTGAACACCCTGTGAATCTTATTTTCCTAAATAACTCATCCTTCCAAATCAATGTCGTCTTATATTCCTTAGCTAAGCTGCTTATTTCCATTTAGAATTATACCCTTTGTTATGATTTCTTCTTTCTCCACACTTAATTTCTACCTGTTAAAATCCTGCTTACTCTTCAAGGTTAAACTCAGATGCACTTTCTTTGAAATATTCTCTTTTAATACCATGTAGAAATTAGTTCTTCCATTTCACGCATGCATGTGTGTGTGTGTGTGTGTGTGTGTGTGTGTATGTGTGTGTGCGCGTCTGCTTGAATCTTTTTTTTAAACTTTATTATTTTGATTTTATGTGTATGTGTGTATTGCCTGCATGTGTGTAAGTGCACCCATGTCGTGCAATGTCCATGGAGGACAGAAGAGGCCATAGGATCCCCTGGAACTGGAGTTACAGACAGTTGTTAGCTGCCATGTGGGTGCTGGGATTCGAACCCATGCAAGAACAACCAGTGTTCTTAACCACTGAGCCATCTCTCCAGTCCTTGAATCTTTTTTATATTCTCTATGTAATGGTACATTTTGTCTACATTGTAATTCTTTTAAAAATATTTTATTTATTATTTTTATTTTATGTGTATGAGTGCATTGCCCGCATGTAGGTAAGTGCACCTGTGTCATGCAATGCCTGCGGAGGACAGAAGAGGCCATCAGATCCCCTGGAACTGGAGTTACAGACGGTTGTTAGCTGCCATGTGGGTACTGAGATTCGAATCTGGGTCTTCTGCAACAACAACCAGTGTTCTTAACAGCTGAGCCATCTCTCCAGCCCCTATATTATAATTCTTACAGTGGCTGGCCCTAAGTTGTGTGATCATAAAGACAAGACTTGTTTGTAAATGCTCGTTCCACAGAATTTAACATAGTGCCTTATATGATATAACTTAATGGACGAATGGTCACTTTTTTTTTCTTTTGTTTTTTCTGAGACAAGGTCTCAGTATATAACCCATGCTGACCTCAAGTTGGAAATCCTTTGCCTCGGTCTCCCAAATGCTGGGATTATAGGCATGTACCATCATGCCCAGGTGAATGCTCACTTGTCAGGTTGACTTTTTTCTCAACTAAATTTAAAATTCTAGTTCTTATCCATTTACTTTTTACCCAGATGGCTTCCTTAATTCTTCTGCTGTCTCTTCCAATTTCCCTTTTATTTTTGAGTTTCCAGTTATTGCTGGATATAATAATACTATTAAATGTCTTTTTATGGCAGCCTAAATATTTGGAAGTAGTTTTGCTGAATTAAACAAAAATTCACTACATGGTCTTATATGATAAGCAGAAGTTAAAATAATGAGTCAGCAAGATGAAAAATTAAATTGTTTCCTCATTCCCTTTTCTTTGACTGTTTCCACTCAGATCCTCAAATCTTACCATTCCCTATTGTCAGCATCAAGTTCATTACATATTGTTCCATCCCAACATTCGTATATGCAACCCATAAGATATTGAGAGAAAAAAAATTACACACAGATTGTTAGCTAGGTCTGAAAGAACATGAAGAAATCAGCCCTCTTCCTTCATTTTGTAGGTTTTGATACTAAAAGCAGATCAGGGGATTTGGTGACTGTTAGATAATCACAAGGGAATCTCAAATGCTCTGTCCAGTAACTGTTAGACCAACACTCTTTTTACTGCATAATTGAAAACCTGTGATCTTACTAATAAAGAGGAACATACAAATTAAAACAACATAAGGTGAAAAGAACAAAATTCCAATATAAGAGATACTGTTATGAGCAATAGTTTAAATATCAAATGTTATCTGTCTTAAAAGTATATGCAAGTCAGGCCCAAAAGTCAGTCAGAGAAAGATCATGTTTTACTCTCTAAGTTTTGGCTGAAACATACTCTATATTTAAGATTATTAGTTTTTTTTTATTTAAAGATTTCAATATCGTGTTGGCCAATAGTAATTAAAAATAAATATAAAATCCTGAAACTAAAATTTACTTATGAGAAGTAAAGTAGATCCCAGAAGTTGATAATAATGACCAGATGATGGAGTCAGTGGTCATAAGGAATGGCTCAAAGAATAGAAGGGAAAAGAAGGAGGGAAATGGAATGATAATCCATAAACAGGTATATACATACATACATGTACATATGCACATATATGGATATATACACACATATGTATGCATGCCATCTATGATTTGGAATAACAAAACTAATAGGAAAAGCAAGACTCAGAGCTTAGGAGAAATAGTCATTTCCTGAGAAGGAACAAACGATAGAAATATTATTTCAGAAGGAAAACTCCAAAATAAAGATAAATAGAATGTGAAGCATTTAGAAAAAGAAAAGTAGACATGGGGATAAGACAGGAGAAATAAAAGCTAGGGAAAAAGCCGGGCTTGGTGGCACACTCTTTTAATCCCAGCACTCAGGAGGCAGAGACAGGTGGATCTCTGTGAGTTCCAGGTCAGCGAGGGCTGCACAGGGAGGCCTTGTCTCAAAACAACAACAACAACAACAAAGTGTTAGTAGCAAAAACAATGAGTCTTTCTGCAAGGAACAATATATTCTAAAATGAAATGGAGATCTTTTTTAAAGGTTAAAAACTCATTCAATGTTATGTCTTACAGGCTTATACTGAGTTCAATATTGTATAACTGTATTAATTCAACTGTGAACCTAGAAACTTACAGCCACTTGTGAAAGAGATGTACTCTTGCTCTGGAGTGTGTTACTGAATATGTTGAAGCTGTAATGAAATGCTTCTTCTAATCATGTAGTTATTAAAAATTTAAAAAAAAGTAAGGGAAAGAATAAAAGGAAATAGAATGTAATGAATTTGAAACCATTAATATAATGAGCAGAACAGGCTAAGCACAAGCTATCAGGCTCATCTGGATTTTCTTACCAAATAACCGAGGCAGTAACAGAAGGCTCCAGTATCAATCTGCAGGTCCCCAATGAGTCCTGTCTTGGTCCCCACTCCAAGCCAAAATGAAGTCATGAAGTATATCGGGCAAGTTGCTGAATGAGCACTTACTTTTCCGATGGTAAAGGGAACTTAAGATCTACATTGCACAGGAAGGGCCTCTCAGTGAGTCATGTTTAAATGGCTTAGATAAGAAAAGCAGAAGGACAGAGAAGGAGGGTAGAGCTCAGATGTTTTCTGCAGGGTGTACAGAGGGATCAAGTACAGATCTGTCATCTCAGCTATGAGGACACCAAAGCAGGGTGGTCCAAAGTTCAAGGTCTGCCTGAGCTACAGAGTTAAGTTTAAGGCCAACCTGGGGAAGTTAGCAAGACCCCGTCTCAAAATAAAAAAGCACAAAAAGGTTTAGGGGTGTAGCTCTGGTGAGCACCTGTCTAGTACATTTGAGGCCCTGGGTTTAATCCCCAGCGTGGAGAAAGAGAGGAGTGTGGGGTGGATGTGATTGTGATGCAGTTCTTACCTGCGTGGAATTTCCAAAGAACAAATAAAAAATAATTCTTAAAGATAGGAGGCGCTAGGTGTGATGGCACACACCTATAATCCCAGCAAAGGCAGAGACAGGCAGCCTGGTCTACACAGCAAGTTCTAGGTCAGCTGGGGCTACAAGGGCACCCTGTCTAAAAAACAAACAAAAGCTACCCCCCCAAAAGATGGGAAGGTTGGGGTTCAGAGTGCTGAGGAGGAATGACCTGAACAAACCATTTAATCAATCTCAAACCACATCTTTTTAACATTTGATATGTGGAAAAACTGAGCCATGCCAAAGTCAGAATGAGTTAAAGTGTGTTCTAATATTTACAGTTTTCCAGTTGAATGGAAATGCGTACCCATACACACACACACACACACAGACACACACTCAAGCACACACACAACTGTAATACAACCATATTTTGCATAGTAGTAGAAATAAAATAGAACGTGTTTGGTATGGATATGTTTAGCCGGGGACAATCTGTGAAAAGCTTGAGAGATATTTCTTAAGATGTGAGCAAGTCCTTAAACGATCTTCAGGCTAATCCAAGTAGAAGGCAGCCAAAGTTGCCTAGAGTGGAAGCAGCTGTGGCCCAAGGCGATGGGAGTTGAGAGCAGGGGAGCCTGCAGACATCTAGGTTGGAGTTCGTCAGGTAAGGGTGAAGGAGTCTCAAGGGCATTCCTGCCCAAACTGTTTGTTATAAGGAGTTCTCACCCACAGATCAGGCATAGTGGGCCATGTCTGTAATCCCAACACTTGAGACACTGAACCATGAAGATCATAAATTCCAGGCAGCTGGACCTACAAAGTAAGATGCTGACACAAAGACTTCTGACTATCATTCTTTTATATATGTACATAAAACAATAAAGTTTGTTTTTGTGTTGACACAGAGTAACCATTTTTAATAAGTTAACGTTAATCAGTCCTAATTTTTTTCTAAATTCAGCAATTTTTTTTTTTTTGGTCTTTTTGAGACAGGGTCTCCCTGTAGCCCCGTTCCTAATTTTTTTCTAAATTCAGCAATTTTTTTTTTTGGTCTTTTTGAGACAGGGTCTCCCTGTAGCCCCAGCTGTCCTGGAACTCAGTATGTAGACCAGGCTGGCCTTGAACTCACAGAGCTCTGCCTGCCTCTGCCTCCCGAGTGCTGGGACTACAGGTGTGTGCCACCACGCCCAGCTAGCAATTTTTTCTTTTTAAAGGCAGTTTTAAGCAAAAATGCACTACAATTGATATATGTTTTTATCTTGAATTTTCACTTAACAACATAATCAAAACGAATTTCCGTGCCAGCATATATAATTCAGTTATTTTTTATTTTGTTCCCTCCAATATTTGGAAACATTGAAAAATAAAGGTATTCAGAGGGAATACAAAGATTAGACAGGATTACCATATAATTCATATACACATATTCTCTTTTAAAAATATTTTATTTATTATTTTTGTTTGATGTGTATGAGTGTATTGCATACATGTGTGTAACTACACCTGTGTCATGCAATGCCTGGGGAGGTCAGAAGAGAGCATCAAATCGCCTGGAACTGGAGTCTCAGACAATTGTTAGCCACTATGTGGGTGCTGGGAACTGAACTTGGGTCCTCCGGAAGAACAGCAAGTGCTCTTAACTGCTGAGCCATCTCTCTAGCTCTGCACATGGTTTTTTAAGATTCAGTTTCTTCCGCTTATATTTCAAACCAGGAAAATTATACTTTAAAAAGTTGCTCCATATTATTTCATTTAATTATTCTCCTATTGATGAATACTCAGCTTTTATCAAATTTTAAATTGCTGAAAAATAAGCATTTCTTGCATTTTATACCTTTCTTCCTCTCTTCCTCTTCCTGTCCCTCTTCTTTTCTGTTTCCTTGAGACAGTGTCCTCATGTGGCCCAGGCTGGCCCCAAACTTTGTAGCTGAGGATGATTGTGAAATCCTGATCCTCCTGCATCAGCTTCTCAAGGGCTGGGATTATATAATGTATCACCATACCTGGCTATGCCAATATTCCTTTTTTTTAGTCAAGGTCTCCCTGTAGCCCCAGCTGTCCTGGAACTCACTATGTAGACCACTCGCTGGCCTTGAACTCACAGAGATCCGCCTGCCTCTGCCTCCCGAGTGCTGGGGCTACAGGTGTGAGACACCACGCCCGGCTTTCTTTTCCACTTTTTATAGATGAAGTCCAGCCAGACATCGTGGCCCACACCTGTTAATCCCAGTGCTTGGGAGGTTGATAGAGAAGAGATCGGTGAGTTGGATGTCAGCAAGGGCGGATGTTCAGTTACACACACTGTGGAACAAAAAAGTAAAGTAACAGAGGAAGTCCTTGCCTGGAAGTTGAGTTTCGTAACCACATTCTCTGTCTGCATTTTTGACATACTCATCTGCACTTGGGGATGTAAAAGCTCTGAGAAATCATCGAGTTATAATACAGCAGGGGCTGCTGCGACTGTGTAATATACTGAGTACAGTGATGGAGGAAAGACTGAGACAGTTAAGGTTTGTGTGTGTGTGTGTGTGTGTGTGTGTGTGTGTGTGTCTTCTGCCTTCTGTTGTACCTGGTGACAACATCATTGCTAAAATATGAATGTTTGCCTGAAAAGGACGTCCGAATGCAATTCAAAGAGTTAAAAATTATGACCCTTTAAAGGTGTTTCTGGCACAGAGTCAGCCCTTCTGTCTCTATAAAGAATATGCAGCAATTTAAAATAGTTTGAGACTTTCTAACTGTATTTTCAGTTCATTAAGGACACGATTGCTTTGTTATTCTTATTACTATTAATTACTATTATTCAGACTGGATCTTGCTGAGTTTCCCAGGCTGGCTTGGGGCTCTCCATCCTCCCTCCTCAGCTCCTAAGTAGCTGGGGTTATAGGTGCATACTACCATGTCATGCTCAAGAAATTAATTTTTATTTTGTTTCACTTTGAAATAAGGTCTCATGTATCCCAGGCTGCCCTTAAATTTACTCTGCAGCCAAGGATAATCTTTACTCCTGATCCTCTTTCTCTCCATCCCAAGTGCAAGACATTAATAGCTTTATTTTTATTTTTGCGGTGCTGGGAGTGGAACCCAAGGTCTTGTGCATGGTTGGCAATCTTTTACCATTGAGCCATATCTCCAGCAAACTGTTGAGAGCATCTTGTTATCACTGTTTCTGTCTCTGGATCACTTCTCTCTCTTCTGTTCTGTGGTAAAATGTGGATAACCCTGGGGAATTTATGTTGTTTACTTCTGTTTTTTAGTCTTTTGAATATCTATAAACTTTGGAGTAAAGATCAGATGCTTCAGGAAATACGAAAATCTCTATACTACACACAGAGTCATAGTAAACCTTTCATAAGTCACAAATTAATCCTACTCTGTCAACAATAAAGATCTGTATAAAAGTTCATTCATGCTGGGCGTGGTGGTGCACGCCTTTAATCCCAGCACTTGGGAGGCAGAGGCAGGCGGATATTTGTGAGTTTGAGGCCAGCCTGGTCTACATAGTGAGTTCCAGGACACCTGGGGCTACAGGGAGACCCTGTCTCAAAAAAGACAAAAAAAAGTTCATTCATGTAAAATAAAAATGTTAGAGTTATAGAATCTGTAGCATAGTTTGTCTGATAATTAAAAATAATTATATGACAAATTGCTGTCTTAAGTTCTTCTGTGAGAATTGATTAGATCTATTTGAGCATGTGAAGTAATCTATGTTCTAAATTAAATAGAAGAGTGCGAAAATTGTGGACGACAGACATGCTGTGGCAAACAAAGGTCAAGATGGAAAGTGATTAAAATAAAGTAGAAAAATGTCATGGAGGAAAAGCTTCTTGACAGTAGAAGAGCACTGGACTAGGAGTTTGGAGACATGGGTTTGACTAATAATAGTTATAGTTATAATAGTAGCTACTTGACATTGGGCTAGATGTTTGATCTGGAAATTTGTTGATGTTGTCTATGCATAAAATCAAACAGTTGCTTTGGGTGATCATTTAACTTTTTGAAAGTATCTATCAACCTAAAATTCTCTCATTTGAGCAGAGAAAGAGACAATGTGAGTGCCTTTTGTGTAAAAACACAAGCACTCAGGTGAGCTGGACATCAGAATGGCACAAGTAAACTGGCTGGAGTAGAGAGGGACAGTCTTAGGACTCATGATAGGTAGCGAGAAAGTCTGGGCTGGAAACCCTGCTTTGCCACTACATATTGTGTGCTGTACAGAAGTTTTAATGTATTCTGTCTTCATTTCCTCACCTGTAAAGCAAGAGTGTGTCAGATACCTGTCAATCCCCCAGCCCAGCACCATCCTCCCTTATCATCTGTGGAAACCTGGGTAGAACTTTGCTTGTTTACTTATTGAGATAGAGACTCACTATGCAGTCATGGCCTGGAACTCTCGATCCTCTTGCTTCAGCCTGAGTACTGGGGTCACCGCTACCATTTCTAGTGAGGTTTCTAAATGCTGGAAAGATATGCTCACATGTGATTGGACGAGGAAGAGACTGAGAATTTTCTTCATTTATTACTATGACTT